GTTTGAGAGAGGGTGAGGAGGTGAGAGTGAGAGGGTGAGGTCAAGTGAGAGAGTGAAAGAGAGAGGTGGAGTAGGGGTTAATGACTGAAATGGTCCCCCAACTATTGCTCCAGTATCATTTCGGTCCACCAACTAAAATTTTTATTTGAACCGTCTTTCAACTCTTTTTTTGTATCAATATGGTCCTACTGTCAAAGTCTGTCAATTTTATTGTTAAAATGAGAGGTAAAAATGTCTCTATGAATTAAAATAGTAATATATAATTAAAAATTAAAGAAAACTATTATAAAACTTAGAAAATTTTAAAAAATTGAATCTCACCAGCCCCATGAACTTTTTTTTTTCGTGAGACTGGCCTAACAATTAATAAATAAATAAATCTCTATTGTTTAAATTAATTAAAAAAAATTAAAATCACATAAATATTAAATAAAAAAAACAAATTTTTTAAGAGAGTAAACAATAATTAAAAATGAAAGGAAACTATTATAGGAACTTGTACCTAATTTTAAAATTGAAAAAATTGAATCTCACCACTAACATGGACTTAAAAAGTAATATATTTTTTTTCTCTATTGCTTAAATTAATTAAAAAATTTACAATAAAATAAATACAAAAATAAATAACAAAAAATAAAAGCAACCCCAAAACAAACAAACCTAGCATTACCCAACCCCACCTCTCCAACCCCGCAACCTCCCCTCAACCCCATCTCCAACCTCGCAACATCCCCCTCTCAGCCTCCACCCACCGTCACCTCACCACTCCCAGTCGCTCTCACCATGACCCGCACCCTCCCTCTCTCCCAAATCCACGATAATTATGGACGATTTTACCCCTCAATTTAACAATAAATTGACAGACTTTGACGGCAAGACCATCTTGATACAAAAAAAAGAGTTGAAGGACGGTTCAAATGAAAATTTTAGTTGGTGGACCAAAATAATACTGGAGCAATAGTTGGATGACCATTTCAGTCATTAATTCGGTGGAGTAGGTTAGTTGTGGTTGTGATCTAGTGGAAGCATCCCAGCGTATACTCTTATTTTAGTTAATAAACAGGGGACATCTGTAATATTTATATATTAGTAATTAATGATCGGTTCGGGTTAGGTCCATCAGGTCCAATTTTTTTTGACCCGAAGCAGGAACCAAAGTCAATGATTTGGGTCAGGTTTATTGTTGACTTTTTTGGTTTGATTAAAAAAAAAACCTTATTTTTCAGTTTGATTTGGTTTGTTCGGTTCGTCGGTTTTTATGCCCACCACTAGTTCCAACTATATTTGATGTTTTAACTTCCTTACTTTTCCTTACCTTTGTCATGTTATTTTATTTTATTTTCCAAACTCAACTTTTTTTCTTCTTTATAATTCTTTACTTAGTTACCAACTAGACAAAAATCTCTCTTAGTAGGTGTTTTCTGACCCTCTTTGACAAAATTTCAAGCTTCGTCATGCCAGGTCCGAGCCATATTAGGAAGTAAGGGTATAAAATTTCCCTTACATGGAAAGTTCATATCCATGAATTAGTATTGCATTCCCAAATATGCATTTGCCAAACATGGGAATGTAATTTCTTACCCATTGAAAAGCTCTTAAACATTGAATAAAATGAGCCTTAAAGAGATATATATTTATTTTGGAGATGAAGCGATCACTATTACATCATGGGGATTCGATATGGTGCCATTTCCCATTGGCAGCCTTGGATATTCTTTAGACACCCATGTTCTGACTTCTAGTCCAAACAACGTTTCCCATTCTTCTAATTATTACTAGACTCTCTGTACGTGCTTCCGCGTTTGCGAGATGCTTTTTTTTTTAAAATTAAAAATTAAAATAATACTGGAGCAATAGTTGGATGACCATTTCAGTCATTAATTCGGTGGAGTAGGTTAGTTGTGGTTGTGATCTAGTGGAAGCATCCCAGCGTATACTCTTATTTTAGTTAATAAACAGGGGACATCTGTAATATTTATATATTAGTAATTAATGATCGGTTCGGGTTAGGTCCATCAGGTCCAATTTTTTTTGACCCGAAGCAGGAACCAAAGTCAATGATTTGGGTCAGGTTTATTGTTGACTTTTTTGGTTTGATTAAAAAAAAAACCTTATTTTTCAGTTTGATTTGGTTTGTTCGGTTCGTCGGTTTTTATGCCCACCACTAGTTCCAACTATATTTGATGTTTTAACTTCCTTACTTTTCCTTACCTTTGTCATGTTATTTTATTTTATTTTCCAAACTCAACTTTTTTTCTTCTTTATAATTCTTTACTTAGTTACCAACTAGACAAAAATCTCTCTTAGTAGGTGTTTTCTGACCCTCTTTGACAAAATTTCAAGCTTCGTCATGCCAGGTCCGAGCCATATTAGGAAGTAAGGGTATAAAATTTCCCTTACATGGAAAGTTCATATCCATGAATTAGTATTGCATTCCCAAATATGCATTTGCCAAACATGGGAATGTAATTTCTTACCCATTGAAAAGCTCTTAAACATTGAATAAAATGAGCCTTAAAGAGATATATATTTATTTTGGAGATGAAGCGATCACTATTACATCATGGGGATTCGATATGGTGCCATTTCCCATTGGCAGCCTTGGATATTCTTTAGACACCCAAGTAAAAAACACACAAATCAGGTAAATTCAAATTAGGGTAAACTGCCGAATTGCCCCCTACACTTGTACATAACTATCAATTTACCCCCTGACCTTTTTTTTAAAGCGAATTAAAGGCTTGAATTAAATTTTATTATCAATGTTCCCCTTGCCGTCTAAATCATCAACATTTCATCCAATTTGCCGTTAAATATGAGGGCAAATTGGTCATTTCATATGTTAAAAATAATTAAATACTATAAAATACAATAGTATGACATATAAAATGAAAAAAAAAATCATTTTAATAAACTCCCACCCTTTTTTCTCTCTCTCTGCAACCAAACTCTTTCTTCCCTCTCTCTCTCTGCAAACCAAACCCTTTCTTCCCCCTCTCTCTCTGCAACCAAACCCTTTCTTCCCTCTCTCCCTATGATTCATCCAATTTTCAATTAAATCATTTTTAAAAATTATTTTTTTAGAAGAAGATTAAAGAAAAAGAAGAAAATTGACCCAAAAAGGGAAAGAAAAAAAAAAGAACCAGCAACCCTATCGCCCCCTCCCCCAGCTCTATCTCCTCCAGCACATCAACCCATCAACCCTAAAACCCCCAGCTCTTGGCCTAGAATTTAACCCCATTTAACCTCACCTGATATGTATGTTTTTGAAAGCTTGTGCTAGTAATAGTAAGAGTAGACAATGGTGGCTCTTGAAATTGATTTGACCAACAAGTAAGAGTAGAGAATGGTGGCTCTTGAAATTGATCTGGAGCTGACCAAACCTTTTGCCATGCGGCTGGACATTAGGCCACCATGCCTTTTATTTCTTTTCTCCTCACAGAAAATTGAAACACGCTCTCTCCCATCCCCATCCCTTGCCCCCAAGATCCAGACCCATCCCATTCCCCAGCCTTGCCCCCCCAACCTAGACCCATCCCCCAGCCCCATCCCCACGCGAGATCCATCCCTAGACCACCACCCAACGCCACCATACAACAACCTCCATCCCCACTCGAGCTTGCAAAAAGAGAGAGACACGCGAGATCCATCCTTAGACCACCACCCAACGCCACCAAACAACCACCTCCATGCCACCAAACAACCCCCTCCATCCCCACTCGAGCCTGCAAAGAGAGAGAGAGAGAGAGAGTAAGGGGGGATAGGTTGGAGAAGAAGACGCAGGGGGGGGGGTGGGTGGGTCCATAAGATTTTTCTTTTTCTTTTTTTCTTTAATTTTTTCAAAAAATATATATATTTCTTTATTTTTTTAATGATTTGATGGATTATTGGATGAAATGTTGATGATTTAGACGGCAGGGGGAACATTGATAATAAAATTTAATTTGAGCCCTTAATTCGCTAAAAAAAAAGGTCAGGGGGTAAATTGATAATTAGGTACAAGTTCAAGGGGCATTTCGGCAGTTTACCCTTCAAATTATGATTAGGAGATGAGGATGGTCAATTGTGTAATATAGAGATCAAATATGATGAGAACTGTCAGTTGATGATCGCCAGCAGCATGCCATGACTTCCTCAAATCTTCGACCCAAAAATAAAAATAAAACTCCTCAAATCAAACAAGCAGGGGAAAGGAAGGAAGGAGGAGAAAGTCTTACTAAACCTCTTGATTGATATATTAACAAGTTTCTTCTTGTTGTATGCATCATATATGTCATGTATATCGTGCGCACATTCAATACTTTGTCATTTGTGCCACGAGAATTGCATTGAGCACATGAAATTTTCCTTATTTTTTTTTTAAGGTCGAAGAAAATGTTAATAATCATTTGAAGTATTGACAATGTAGTATTCTAAATTACTCTAATATATATATATAAAAAAGGATTAAACTCGGGTGTAGAGTGATGGACACACAACTTTAACTCGAGTGCAAAGTGAATAGCACATTCACTTTAACAAACTTGACTAAGCTCATATATGCAAATATCTTCCAACTTTGAAGTAGAGAAGTTAGGACTAAATAGCTTCATTGGCAAAGGAAAATTAAGGTTTAATCTGCCAATAATATACTTATTTTCTTATTTTTCTAGACATTTGGTGAGTTCACCAATTTTGTCCTACCACACGGTCCACACCCAAAACGAAACCCTCCTTTCTCATTTGGTTTTCTCTGTTTTCCCGCATCATCCTACAGTTGGACTCGGCGCTTCTGCCTCTATCTCTCTCTCTCTCTCTTGCCCTCTCTACCAAACCCTAACCCCCAAATGTCAACCTCTGCAATCAAACCGTAATTATCTCCAATCGAACCTCACCCCGACCCAATTCACCTCCGATTTCCTCTAATTCCACTCTTCCCCGACCGATTTATTCAAATTTCAGCCATGCCCAAGACTCTCAAAGCTTCGCGGGATTAATATAATGATCGAATCGTTGAAGCACCGTACGAATTCATTTTATGGGTTTGAGCAATGCCGGAGCTTCGCAGAGGAGTCCGCCGAGGCCGCGCTAGGGTAGCTCACAAGCCGTCGGACCTACCGCCGCCCTCGCGGAGGACCCGTGCCACGGTCGCCCGAGAAGCCGCTGAGGCCGTGGTGAGGCCGAGGACAAGGTTGGCAGTGAGAAAATTGAAAGAAGAGGAGAAGCAGGAGCCGGACCCGGAGCCGGAGCAGGAAGACCGTGTGATTGTGATATCGGAGAAGGACTCCGATTCTGAGGGCAAAAAGGGAAAAGAAATAGTCGAGGAAGATAGGAAAGCTGTGATGGCTGACGATAGTGGTGGCTTGAGTGCTAATAAGGCTGCTGGGCAAGAAGAAGAGGGCAGTACTGCGCCTTTTCCCGAAAAGGTACGGGTAGTTTCTTGCTATTTTGATGCTTTTGGTGGCGTTATTTTGTGTATTCTTATTTTATTTCAGCTGGGAACTTGGGGTGGTGTTGCTGCTGATGAAATGTGTTTACTTTTTTTCACTGTTCTTTAATTGTTCAGGTAGTAGGCTATATTTATTTATGTTGGAAGCATTTCTTGTGTTTCCTTGTAAGAATGAGATCCTAATCAGTAAGTTTCCTTTAAGGGATCCAGTAAAGTGGTCATTTTTAATTTTATAGAGATGTTTTCTATGTTGGGTGCGTGCATTTCTGTGTTTATATATACCCAATTTTTTATCTTGTTCTTCAACTAAGCGTATCACTTTAACTGAAATAATGCACTGGAGTGGATTAACTTAATGATGGTAGTCTTTAAATGAATGCTTTGGGTTGGTGTAACTTAAATGATGAATTTTGTTGTAACAATTTTAAATTTCATAATAAAAAGAAAGAGATTCTGTTTCAACTTTGGTATGTTTATTTTAATGGTGATATATGTTCTGGAAAATTTCCAAATTTCCACTTTCTAAGGTTCAAGTAGGAGGGTCGCCACTCTATAAGGTAGAGAGGAAGCTGGGCAAAGGTGGCTTTGGCCAGGTGTTTGTTGGTCGTCGTGTTACGGGTGGAGTTGATCGCACAAGCGGTCCTGGTGCTATTGAGGTAAGTTCATATTTTCTCATGTTGAAAGAAGGCTGTACTATTCAGAAATTATCTTCTTTTCTTTATCAGTAATTGTCCTTATGAATTTCTTTGCGATTTATGTATTTATCAGGTGGCACTTAAATTCGAGCACAGAAACAGCAAAGGCTGTACTTATGGTCCTCCATATGAGTGGCAAGTTTACAAGTGAGTCTTTTTCTTTCTATTAGATTTTTAGTTTTTCCATTGTTTTCTTCCCTGGGTGATGTGCTTAGGTTCATTTATCAGTATCTATACATGTACACTTGCTAATTTGTTTATAAATCGGTCATTTTTTGTTTTTGAACAGCACTCTTGGTGGTAGTCATGGAGTGCCTAAAGTGCACTATAAAGGAAAGCAAGGAGACTATTATGTCATGGTATGAACTGTCCAATCTCTTGTATCAGTAACGGGTTGCAATTTCTTGTTTCCTTGTACCAAATACATTTGTTATTTCCATATATGCAGGTTATGGACATGCTAGGGCCTAGTTTATGGGATGTATGGAACACTTCAGGGCAAGCGTGAGTATTTAAGATTATTTTGCTCTTCATCCAAACATTATCAGTTCGTTTTGCTGTTATCTCGAGATCCGAAACCTGGATATGCCATTTAGGATTCAGCTGAAAAATTCCAGTTTTAAATGTTTTGCTGCTTATTCTGAGGGGTCTGAATAGAAGCACAGCTGAAGCAACCTATTTTCAGTCACGATTTTAAGGATTAAATCTTCTAAACTCGTACTTAAGATGCTAGAGAGCACTGAAATAAAGTTTGAGTTATTGGATAGTTATGGCTTTGGATTCAGTCTGTGGGTATCTGTTCACAACTGTATTTGAAGTGGAAGAGCACGCATATGTTCTATTCTTGGACTTCAATTTTCTGAAAGATTTTAACTTATATTTTTCATTTATGTTTGAATCCAATGAACACAGGATGTCTGCAGAAATGGTAGCTTGTATAGCTGTCGAGTCTTTATCAATTCTAGAGAAGATGCACTCAAGAGGGTATGTCAATGCAGCCTCAGATAATTTTATTCACTTTTTGGTGTTGGTTGTCCCAATCTTGTGGATTGATATGAATACTAAAATTTCATCAATCCTATTGCTTTTTGTTTCTTTCAAAAATAAATTTTTATTATATTTCTAACTTATTTTAAATCATGACTTGTTGACATTAGCTATGTGCATGGAGATGTGAAGCCAGAAAACTTTTTACTTGGTCAGCCATCTACAGCTCAAGAGAAGAAATTGTTTCTTGTTGACCTTGGACTAGGTAAGTTAATTTATTTTCATCTGTAGGGCTTCTCTCCAGTTATTTCATTTACTTTCGTTTCTTATGTCTTCTTCATTACCTGATTGTGCAGCGACAAAGTGGAAAGACACTAATGGGGGTCATGTTGATTATGATCAACGTCCTGATATGTTTAGGTGAAGTAATATCTGCATTTTTTGGGGTATGGTATTCAGTCTAATTCTTCTATCTTTAGCCCTGAAATCTTTTCTGTTTCACCTCCAGAGGAACTGTTCGATATGCTAGTGTTCATGCTCACTTGGGAAGAACTGCTAGTAGAAGAGATGATCTTGAATCTCTTGCTTATACACTCATTTTTCTCCACCGAGGAAGGTTACCATGGCAGGGCTATCAGGTATTTAAGAGGGATTAATTTTAGAGTCTGATTTACTCTCCTTTATTGAGATTTATTATGAAATTTGTCTGCACTGTACTTGGTCCTGTTTCAGGGTGATAACAAATCTTTCCTAGTTTGCAAAAAAAAGATGGCAACATCTCCTGAAATGCTGTGCTGCTTCTGCCCCCCACCTCTAAGGCAATTTCTTGAGGTTGTGGTGAACATGAAATTTGATGAAGAGCCTAACTATTCGAAGTTAATATCATTGTTTGAGAGTTTGATAGGATCAAATCCTGCTGTAAGGCCAATAAAAATTGATGGCGCTCAGAAGGTATTTTAGTGATATTGTAATATATAAAGCTCTCTTTTGTATGTTCATCGGGCTTATAAATTAATTTATTGCGAACTGTTTTAGATTATTAGTCAGGTTGGCCAGAAACGGGGTAGATTGAATATTGAGGAAGATGATGATGGCCAGCCAAGGAAGAAAGTTAGGCTAGGAGTACCTGCCACACAATGGATTTCAGTTTACAATGCTCGGATGCCGATGAAACAGAGGTAGAAATTCATTTTGCAATGTTGTACTTTTTTTTCGGTCAATAAATAGTGTAGTTTCATTCTTTCCTTGCATATCAAAGGGAAAAGTGGTTTGAATAAGAGTCCCTGACTGTAATTTTCCTCATGGCTTGATCATCTTTTATTACTAGGTATCATTACAATGTCGCTGATGCAAGGTTGGCACAACATGTGGAGAGAGGGATTCAAGACGGTCTGCTTATAAGCTGTGTGTCATCTTGTTCTAATCTCTGGGCACTTATTATGGATGCTGGAACCGGTTTTACAAACCAAGTTTATGAGCTTTCACCCTTCTTCTTGCACAAGGTGGATTCCTGTGCTTGTCTATATTCATATAAGATTTTTACTCAAAAAATTGACAGACTGTTTGTTCTGAATGCACAGGAATGGATAATGGAACAATGGGAGAAGAACTATTACATTAGTTCTATTGCTGGTGCTAATAATGGAAGTTCCCTTGTGGTGATGTCAAAAGGTACACTGCTGTAGTGATTAGTTGTGACATTAATCTATTAACTTTAGTTGTGTTAATGAGTAAAGTTGCATGACTTATGTGGACCTGTTTATTGTCATGCCAGATTGAATTTTCATATCAGTAAGATATGCTTTAGCAATATGCTCCAAAATTTCGTGTCATATATGATTGCTGAGGAAAAAAATTGGCTTGGAAAGAATGAATGAATCTGTTCTTTGCAATGTGTTCTTTTAATGCTATGTTGGTGTAACTTTAATCTGGTCATGCGGTAATCTTTCTTTTCTTTTTCTGGATTGCTGTATGGTGTTTGGGTTGGTTCTTCTTAGTTGTTGAGGTCTAGGTTCCCTCTTCCTAAAGTTCCCAGAAAGCTCCAATGGCTGTGGGACATACATGCTGTGGTAATGATCAAGATAACCACGATTCTCTTTTTTCTTGCCTCTTAGGGTTCTCCACATTGGTGACTGATGTGTTTGTGTTGGACATTATGTTTTGAGTCTTTTGACCAAAGGTTGTTATTTGTTATATATTGATAAGGATTGCATAGTTTTTCTTTATGAAGTGGATCTTGTCATTTTGTAAACAGAGTAAGATACAGTGGACTTTTGTACCCCAAAAAAAGGAAGAAAAAAGATTTGGATATTACTAGACAGAATGTGTATGCAAATCCACATCAGTTCAGTTCGTTTTCAATCAGTAGATTAAGAACTGTGACCCTAATTCTGCAGGAACTCAGTATACGCAACAGTCTTACAAAGTAAGTGATTCTTTCCCCTTCAAGTGGATAAATAAGAAGTGGAGAGAAGGATTTCATGTGACCTCAATGGCAACTGCTGGGAGCCGGTGGGGTGTTGTTATGTCTCGCAATGCTGGCTTCAGTGATCAGGTAAGCTGTGCCCATCTTATTATTCTCTTCAGGAATGTTAGTGTGTTAATTTGATATTTCCATGCTAGCAGGTTGCAGAGAAATAGCTGCCTTCTCATCATTGGCAGTTCAATTTCTCATATGATCATGCTCTTTCTCAACTTTATTCTTCTCATTGCATGATAATATGATATTGTGGATTTTACAAATCATTATAGGCCCCTCCGCAATGTGTTTCTACTTTTGTGTGAAGCCACTGCTCTTTCTCCGAGGGGCACAAATAACATTTGTTGTTGTCTTGAAACTCTTTTCAAAAGCTTCATTTAAAACTTGAGTCATAGTATTTGAATCTACGTTGGATGGGTAAGAAGAGGAAAAATTGAATCTTTTCAAGGTGTCAACTGATCTAGTGAGGGCCATTCTAAATAAAACTGACATTTTAGGATATGACTAAAGGCAAGCTAACCAGACATATTTTCTGTTATTCCGGGTTGAATTTGACTAGAAATAGTGGCAAATGGGTTGCGTCAGGCCATTTTATGGTGCATCCAACCAGATATTATGGCAACGAAATCTGCCAACTTTTTATGTATTTAAAACGTGATCAGTAGAATTTCATGATAGCCAAGGCATGTTGATTTTGCAGTTATTTTTCTTTTCTGGTTTTTGAGTTGGTGTCCACCCTCTCATTTGCCATTGGCTTTTCATAGGTTGTGGAGCTGGATTTTCTCTATCCAAGTGAAGGCATCCACAGACGTTGGGATAATGGTTTCCGGATAACGTCAACTGCTGCAACTTGGGATCAAGCGGCCCTCATCTTGAGTGTCCCCAAGCGCAAACCTGGTGATGAAACTCAGGAGACTTTGCGTACATCTCAATTTCCTAGCACACACGTGAAGGTATGAAGTTTTTCTTTAAAGTGAAAGACCTTGACACTCTTTTAACTTTTTTTTTAGACAGAATAATATCAGACTATTGATATCCTCACTCTAAATTCTGGTCTACTTTTGCACAGGAAAAATGGGCAAAGAATCTGTATCTTGCTTGTTTGTGCTATGGGCGAACTGTATCTTGATTCCTGTGTTATCGGCAGGAATTTGTAAGTCGATATTTTTAGATTTGGTTATTTTGTTTTTCCCCCTCTCTGGGTTGATAATGATTTGTAAGAAAATATGTTGAACGAGAGGAGTTAGCTGCAGCAGCAGAGATTATGTTGTACGATAAATGTTTTATGAGCCGTATAGTTGGCTTTTAATTTGAGATCCCGCCAGTAATTTAAAGTTAAATTATGCAGTGCTCTGTTCCTCATTTGTTCTCTCTCACGTTTGCACCAAGCAAAAATGCCCATTGCTAATGCCCCTCTTATCATCGTCATCCGATTCCTTCTCTTGAAGCTTTAATCAGATTTATTTAGAAATTGGACAAGTTTTCGAATCCATGATATGAAAATGTAACAAAGCTCAGAATAAAAAAGTACTTGAGCGATTTTTTTTGGTCGAATCATTCGACTCGAATGTACTTAGTGATAAAGTGAATCAAAACCAATCCATTTTGATTTGCTAAATCACTGTTTTGATTGCCTCAAACTAGAACTTTAACTGAATCAAACCAGTACTTTAACTGAATCAAACCAATCCCATTTTGTGACCCGCTTGCTAATGGTAACTTCTCTTCGTAAAAGATTATATATTGTCTTACATATATCGAAGGAGGGAAAGTTTATACCATTAAAATAGTTGGGAAAACTTTTTATTGTTGAAGATGAAGAAATTGAGGGCGAGATTAAGTTAAATTCGAATGAGTTAGGGATTTAAATTTTTTTATATTAACATGATAGTAAATGGTAACAACTAATGAAAATGACAAGTATAAAAAAATTTAAAAACATGTAATTTAGTTCGAATTAAGTGATTTTCAAACTGGCCACAAGGTTGATATAAAAGTATGTATAATTTAGAATTCGTAAGCGTATCTTTCATTTTATAAATTTTTATGGTGCATATTTTATAGTAAACAATCTTGTTAAACCTAAAAGATAAAGAGAAATAATGTCTAGGGAGGGACCAAAATAGAAATAATATGTGAGTTCTTTTTTTTTTTTTGGGGTTGGAAAATATAAAATGTGAGTTCGTATATATATATATGTGTAGAGCAAAGAAGATGATAAATAAGAGTGCCCCGCTAAGACACATGGACAGACAGACAGAGAGATAGAGAGGATGTCATCTTCTTCTTCTTCTTCTCATCTCTCAGCCATACCACAACGCCTGTCAAAATCCTCACCATGCCACTGTGAGCTCTCTCTCTCTCTCTCTCTCTCTCTCTCTCTCTCTCTCTCTCTAAAAGTTAGTACCCATTAACGAACTTGTGGAGACCTGCCAATTTCTCGTCATTTCCATGCACAGTCCTTAATTTCAAGTAGCTGTATTTTGCCTTATCTCATTCTTCATTCACATGTGTGCATGAGGTCTCGGTTTCTTGTTGCCCACTATATGTGCATATATATTTTGTATAGCTCTCAGCCGGCACTAAACTCATGGTTTGTGGATAAGAAGTTTATGGGCTAGTTTGCTTTTGGCTCTCTGTTCACCAAATTGTTAACTACTTGGTTTTGCTTTGTCTATATTGCTGTGTTTTTCTTTTTGGTTGACTTTTGGGGTACCCAAGTTTCATTAGGGGAAAAAAATTAAAAGACAAGGGAAACCAATTTACCTAATGTTCGTCCAGATTTCATGAATAATGGGTCTTTTCTTGTTTGCTTTATGGTTTTGTTTTGTTCTCAAGTGTTCCAAATTGGTCTCAATTCAAATTTGGGGGCTTTCTGCGCGCTAGAGTTTCCATATGAAGAGATTTTGCATGGGGTTTGCTTTTCTTTTGGGCACAAAGATGTGAGAGCCTGATATTATGTGTAGAATTGAAACAAGGTAATATCATCATGAAATCTTAAGCCTTCATTTCTACTCAGACCAATAACTGCTTGATGATAATATGCACCTTTGGATCAGAAAGAGAAAGATGATGAATTCCAACATTGAAATGTGCCTTTTCAGTTGTAGCCAGTGAATATTTTGCTTTTAGCTCTATCTGTCATGCAGCACGTGACTGTTGCAAAAACCAGATTCATGTCTTTGATCAATAATAGGTGGAAGGCCAATGGTTCTAACTATCATTTGTATGTAAACAATTTGGCAGTCAATACAAAGTCAGTTGGGTTTCATGTAAGATCCAATCTTGAGAATGACAGCAGCAGTCCGGGGGATTCAGACCACTCATCTAAACCATCAAAGGTATTGATTTATTTGATTCTGAAGAAAATATGGCATTAGATAGAGCAAGGGAATAAGTGGTGGCCATTGTTTTTGGCTTTCATGTCTTTCAGACATATCATTTGGATGGATTTTGTTTGATGATGCTCAATTCAAAGTGCTGCTCGAAATTCATTCTTGCTCTTAATGATACTACTTGCTTTTGCCTTCTCTTTATGGTAAAATATGGGCTATTTTGTTCACAAGAGATGATTCTCCATGCGAAATTGATGGCTTTAGTTTTTTGTTCAAGACAAGATAAAGCCTTTTGCGTGAGTTCCTATGATGCAAAGGGCCCTCAACTTTGCTTGGGACATTTCTTTTGATGTATTCTCAGTAACAGAGGATTTTTTAGTGGATACAGAATACGTCTTTTTTGGTTGCCCTATGTGTATGTTCTGTTTTCTTAAAACTTTTTGTTTTCCAAGAATTTAACCTGTGTAGATTGGTGTGATACATTGGAACTTCTGAAATAACTTATTTGTTTTATCATATTTTTTTATAAGGTATGGTAAAATTCAATATCAATGGCTTTTTACTTTCAACAAGATATAGTTATAAAGGTTCAGTGACCACAGGAATCTCAGGCCTCAATCTCTCGGCGACAGTGTCTCACATGCCTATGTTCAACCGTTGCTTTGATAAGCAATTCTTCAATCTCTACTTCCATTCCAAAGGCATTTGCATTGGATGGAAAAGAGAGACCAGCTGGTTGCCGGAATTGTGGGGGAAGTGGCGCTGTGCTTTGTAAGTATAATTTCTGTAGTTATAAATCAGAAGTGGAAATGATGATGACCTTTTGTTCAGTACTTGCATGATTGTGATACTTACTGTCTTGGTAAAAACTGAAATCCTCTGGGGTATTCTATTTCTGCCCCCAAAATTCATTTGTGCAGATAAATTGTGCATTAACTATATTGGTCCAAAGGTTCAGCTAGAAAACCAACTTTAATTGTTCAAATTTGTTTTTTGACTGTATCATATTGATTTTCTTTGTTCATCTGCAAGTTCCTATTTTCTTTTTTGGTAACTGCGAGTTCCTATTTTCTTTGGTCGTTTTCTTTGTAAAAAGAGTAGCTGGTCTGATTGATATGTAGTTAAAAGTCAAAGATTCAGAATTCTTTTGCTCATGCCTTGAGGTTGATGCTTTGGCTTGTGAGAGGAGAAACAGATGTGCTTCTTCCTTTCCTATAAATATATACGTATGTAAGAAAGGATAGCGTGCCTTAGAAAAAACAAAATAGAAACGTATGTTAGTTGGGTTTCATTTTCCGTCAATGAGATGTTAATTTGCTTTTCATTTAGGTGATATGTGTGGTGGTACAGGAAAATGGAAAGCTCTCAATAGAAAACGGGCTAAAGATGTGTACGAGTTTACGGAATGTCCAAACTGTTATGGTATGTAGTTCTCACCCATACTCATATTCCTGTTTCATCAAATGGTTAGTACCGTAGGAACATGTTTCCTTGAGGGAGAAAATTCCATTTGGCTTCTGTGGCATTTGTGCTCGTCACAACTTATTCCCAGAAAATGAGTCAAGTAGAAAATTAAGAGCCATTGCAAATTATAGTTTACAGTTGTAAATTAAGAGCATTACTTCTTCATCCCATACCAACATTGTATCCTGTTTACAACTGGCACACAATATTTTTTTTTTGCCGCTCTCTTTTTATTGCATTTATTTTCTTCCTACTGGTGTGGATATGCATTTTATTTGATGAGTAATTACCTGTTGTTGTCAACAGGTCGGGGGAAACTCGTATGTCCGGTTTGTTTAGGGACCGGTGTACCGAACAACAAAGGTCTGCTTCGGAGGCCTGATGCAAAGCAGTTACTTGATAAGATGTACAATGGTCGGCTATTGCCAAACTCATAACAAGGTCGTTCTACATCAACATGAGCTGCCCACAAAAGAGTTGATTTTTGGCCGTGTGACCGTTTCATTTTAATTGTACAATACAGTGTTGATCATTTTAGAAGGGTTAAAAGACCAAAGATGTATATGTAGACTATATAGATAGCTATCCCTTCCACTGCGATTGTGTTGTCATAACAGGGTTCCTCTCTGCACATCATAAATGTATGTGAATTTTGTTGCACTTTTAATATATTCTCTACGTCTTAACAGAAAACGCATTTAGGAACTTTTATTCTACAAAATTGAGGAAGTTGGATATGTAAGTCCTTACTAAGCTTTTATTTAACAATACTAACCGTGTTCAGCCATGGTAATCGAATAGATTGTCTTCTTCACCTATGCAGCCTTTATTCTCTTGTCTCTTAGATAGGGTGAGGTCTCTATTCTCTTATATAGGGTGAGGTCTGTATTTGAGAGTCTTTGCTGCAAGGGAAGGGACCTCTATTTATATATGCATCACATCGATACCTTGCCTATCAAGAAGTAATCGTGTGTCCTTGTTGCATTTAGATTAGGTTTGGTTCAATCCATAATATACTAGGAATCCTCTTCACACTTGTTTTCTTTAATAAACTCTGTATAAGTGTTTAGATAGAAGACTAAGTTTTGGTTCCTGATCAACTAAGAAAACTGAATCCTCTTAGGATTAGGAGATCACCTTATGTGGACTAAGACAAGATTTGTCTTACATTCTCCCACTTGATCGACTAATCCCTAATTTTCTGTGTTGACCACTTAAGGCCTTTGTGAAACATAACTCCAGTTGATTCCTTCAAGCAATTGTCATTTTTAAAAATGTGAAGGAACCATCAAGACCTTACTAAATATCTAATACTCCAGGGTCTTTATAATCACATTTAACATCCTTTAAAACTACATAAGCTTCCATCAAGATTGAACAGAAAACAAACATGTTCTACTGTAGAGTTTTATGAACACATTCATTCATTGTCCCTTTATTCGACTGCCAAGGTCTAATCACTTGTTACAATGACAATTCTGTCATGAATGAAATTTGCACAGATATCTTTAGCTAGCTTTTCTGTTTCATTTCATTCAAGCATTAAAACGCATACTCATCCAT